AGCCGGAGCGTGTATAAAAATGAGGAATCTGCTTTTGTTAGGGATAGCGATATTTTGAAAGAATTACCCAAAAGGGGTATAACGATGCTTACGCGCCTATATAAATGCGTGTATAAGGTTCAATTACGTGCCTGAAATTTGGAAAGTTGCGGAGATAATCATGCTGCACAAACCTGGGAAACTAGACAGGGCGACTTCTTATAGACCAATCTCATTGTTGCCTATTACTTCAAAACTGCTAGAGAAACTTTTATTGAGAAGACTTCAGCCTATAATTGAAAGCAAAAGGTTAATCCCGAATCATCAATTTGGTTTTCGCCGGAACCACTCAACCATAGATCAGATTCATAGAATAACTGACCTAATCACTGGAAGAAAAAGCAGTATGTTCTATCATATTTTTGGACGTAGCCCAGACCTTCGATAAGGTTTGGCATTGTGGATTAATAAAAAAACTTAAGCGATTACTACCAAGGCAGTATGTTGACCTGCTCGAATCGAAGACGAGTACTCTTCGCTTAGGGATATCAAGTCGGGGGAGTATACTGGGCCCGATATTATACTTGCTATACACGTGTGATATTCTTGAATCGGAATGAGTGACAACAGCTACATTTGCTGATGATACATCAGTTATCGCAATTGGACGAAATGAAAATGAATCTACACAAAAATTGCAAAGGCCAGTGATGAGATCTCAAAATGGACTAGAAAATGGAATATAAAACTTAACGAGGTGAAATCAGTACATGTAAGTTTCACTAATAGCAAAATTGACAATTCATTTTCGGTTCAAATAAATAGCGTCTTAATTCCGTCCGCAAACACGGCGAAGTATTTGGGAATGACGTTGGACGCGAAGCTCAGATGGAAGGAGCACATAAAGAAAAAGAGATCTCAACTAGAGGAGGAATACAGAAAGTTTGAATGGCTTTTGGGGAGGCGTTCTAAATTGACAATATACAACAAAGTTTTGATATATAATCAAATATTTAAGCCTGTCTGGGCTTACGGTATTCAGTTGTGGGGCTGCGCTGCGCAGACTCATATCCAATCTATACAAATATTTTGAAATAGAGTATTACGGGATATTGTAAACGCCCCTTGGTATGTCCGTAATGCCGATATACACAGGGATCTCACGATCCTAAATGTCACAGACGAAATTAAAAAGCAAGCAGCCAATCATAAAATGAGTTTATCCAATCATGTCAACATTGAGGCGGCTCGATTGGTTGACAATCAAAACTTTGTTAGGAGACTTAAACGTACGAGACCTCTCGAGTTAGTTTAAGGCTTTTTATCTGGAACAATGAGTACTTAGTACACTATTGTGCCAGATCAAAAACTTGTAAATAATCAAAAAAGTTAGAGCAAAATTAATGGTTAGTCGTTCCGACTAGTTTTATAGTTTATTTTGAGGAGGGTGTTTTTTAGTGGATTAAAGTTTCACACTACTGCTTTTCGTCTGGCAGTGTCTTTCGAGATTTTTCACCCCTCCTCTCGGTAAAAAAAAAAAAAAGAAATATTTTTAATGAAGATACGGCAAAGTACATCACAACTCATTACGGTTTTATACTGCCTTCAATGGTGTAAAACAAACCTTCATTTGTTCTCATTATATATACTTATTTATGTACATACCTAATTTTTATATTTATGTACCTATTAATACCCAATAGGTCTATCAAGCCGCCAAAACTAAGCAGGAACTATTTTCCGAATCAACAAACACAATGCTTAATGTTTTTTATTCCGATATATTCCGAATTCCGATTCAAATATTTTTTTTGTTTTTGTATTCAATTTTTGAGTAATTTTAATTTCTTAATACCGTCCTAGTTAGCATAAGCAAAGCCCATATATAATTAAATATATGGGTCTTTGGTACAAGGCAGTAATGAAAGTTTTAAAGTATCAAACTAAGTTTTCTGAGTGAACCAAATCAGAGCTGAGAGTACCACTTTATCGATCTGCTCAGTATGTTATACATTATAGCATTATAACAAGTCCATGCATGTACATACATACATATATAATACATGTAGTCATAAAAACGTTATTGTTAGGCAATTCCTATTTTCTTCAGTTTAGTTAAGTTGTTGCTAAGTTAAAGTTTAGTTAAGTTTACTTAAGTTATGTTTTAAAAATATCTGCGAATCTGAATTAAAACTTAGGGCTGTGCTAAAATTGGGGAAAACACTCATGTTGCGGCACTTAGAAAATTAACTTTTTCTTTTTAAATGAAATGTTACAATTTCAAATTTTTTGAACTTTAAAGTCATGTGATTCCCATATCTAAACAGATTTTAACTAATGTAGATATTCACAAGAAAGCCCTTATTCTGAGATTTCTAAATCACGCGCCTGTCTTACATAAGCAAAATTTTTGTTTGGAACTAGTTGTAATATCTAAACGGTTTTCAATATACTGCGATTTTTACGAATTTTCACGAAATTTAAAAATGGCATTTTTTAAATATTTATCGCAGTGGAACGATAAGCATTTTTCAAATTTTGCAAACACAGGGATATACTGGCTGGCTTCTTCTACCGCGGTATACTATATTTGAAGTTTAAAAAAACAAAATGACCGTTAAAATTTTCCGTTATCTAAAATCCGTTTTTCCCAAATTTTTTTTGTCGTTTTTTTCTAGACCCCAAGATGTGGAAGTCTGAAATTTAATTTTTTCTTAACTCAGGCAATTAACCCTTAAAATCGAGCTTTATGTTAACACCTCTATAAATTTACTTTTGCTTTATTTCAAAGGTAGCATAAATCGTTCATCTTAAATGTATGCAATCTTTGAAATAGTTTCATATATAAAGTAATTTTAATAGTATAGTAGGAATACCTTGCATAGATTGTTTTGAAAAGCAGTATTTCCACTTGTTCAAGGTTCATAGAATTTTTATATTACAAATCATTGATTTGATCCAACTTTATTTGCTTCCCATCCGAAAAAAATTGAAGTTGAAACCAGTAATTGAAAGGCCTTGTTATAAGTTAGTAGTTATTAAAATATTTATTTACTTTTAATATTTTGTAAAAAGAAAGGGTAAACTTAGAGAGAAGGTATAAAAAATTTTGGGAAATTTATCAAAAAGGATATGTTTTATTTGAGAAAATGCCGTTTTTAAAGTTTCACTAACATGATAGCAAAATAATGAAAAATTTCTTGACCAGCCTTACAAAATACTACAAAATAAATTTTCTCAAAAGAACTGAACATTTACATATACATATGTACCTATATACTTATATGTATTTACATACCTTTGAAAAAAAATAATATATTATGTATATAATTACCATATACATAAATATGTATATTAAAAGTTTGAAAGTTGAAAAATTGGGGCAAGAATTAAATCTAACAAAACTATCTGAAAAAATTATCTGGTCTTATACAACTTTATTGCATAGGACTGAGTTTTAGGATTTTTAAAACAAAACATGCTCTACGAAATATGGAAAATTCTTCCTTTTTTTTATGTAATGACTTTTTTCAAAACGATCTTGTAAAGGCTAATCAAATCTTACGTGCGTCCAGAAAAATTCTAATGAGCGAAATTAATTATTAAATAAAAATAAGCTATTAAATTTACTAAGATTAATTGCTTCAAATGAATCGATTCAGTAAAAAGAGAATTTTTCGACACAAAATGCCTATTGTAAGTACTTATGTAAGCAATTAACCCGAGTACTTTATTTCTTTTGCATGTATATGTATATACAAATATGTATATTTTATAAATAAAAATAATTTTTTGCAAGCTCCTGATGGTTATACTAAGGTCTGATATGTGTTTCATACATTTATTTTTGGATTTTACATCTTCCAAGAAACATAGTTACTTTTCTTTAAGCGAAAACCAACTTTAAGCTTGACTTAAAGTTAACTTAAAATAATTTATTTTAAAATACATGTAAGACTAACACTAATTTGGAAGAAAAGTTTTCAAATGCGCTCGTTTTATGTGTAATTTTAACTTTTTTTGAAAAAAAGTGCTTATTAGTTTCACTCTGTTCGTTCGTCCGTCCGTCTGTCCGTGTGTCTGTTTACAAAACTTCTACACCCTTGAAGATAGAAAGCTGAAATTTAATACGTACATAGACCTTTACTAGAAATTTATTTCTGTAGAACAAAATTTTTAACTGTCTCCCCCTCTCTAGAAACTGTACCCCCCAAATCCCTTAAAATGGCCTTTTTTAAATATTTGTTGCAATGAAACCATAAGCATTTTTCAAATTTTGCAAACTCAGAAAGGCAGCGTGGTGAACAAAATGGTCGTTCAAATTTACCGTTATCTAAAGTCCTTTTTTTCCAAATTTTTGATGTCGTTTTTCTTCTAGACCCCAGCCTGTAGAAGCTTAAAATTTGGGGCTTTTAGACACTAATAAGTGCTTCATTTCGTTAGAGGACAATTTTTTTCCATATCCACCCCCTATCAAGTTATCGCCTCTTGAAATTTCTAAAATTTGAATTTTTGACACCTTATATTTCCTAAACCGCAAGCTTTTTCAAATTTCTATAAACGCAAAAAGCTAACGGTAAGTTCCATGACATTAAAAAATATAATTATTTTTTTTAACTCACACAATTAAACGTTAAAATCGAGCATCATGTCAACCCTACTTTATATTAAATTTTGCTTTATTTCAAAGACCGCATATATGCATCATCCTAAATATACATCCTAAGTATATATAGACTGTATTTAGAAGCAGAATTTTCACTTGTTGAAGGGAAAAGTGCTAAAATACAAACCATTGGTTTGACCCAACTTTATTTGCTTTAAATTCAATTCAATTAATTGTTGTTGATATTTTCAATTAAAAAATCCTCATTATTATTTTTTCTCTTTCGTTAAAGAATTCCAAAAACGTTTAGCTTAAAATTAATTAGTCCATAATCCGTCAAGCTTAATTGATCATTTTAGAAGTTTTTATGTTTGAAAAATTATAAATCGTAAAATGTACAAAAATCATGTCTTACCTGCACCTGAATGGTATTGCTTTCGAGTGCGTTAAAAAGCAATGGCAAAATATCCGTTTTAATATCGTCTTGCGACGTCTTTTCTAATATCACATGAAGATTTTCTAAAATTGTCACTGAGGCTTGAATAGACTTTGGAGAGGCAAAGACAGTTCTACAAAATATATATATAAGTTTCTTGTAATAAATTTAGCAAAATTTACAGAATTAAATGCAAGATTTTTTCACAACATTGAAGAAATTGGAAATTGTTATATGTACGCATTATATTTAACACAGTGACACATAATAAATATTTAGGCTAATGTTTTGCCACAATCGTATAGAATGAAATTACGTTTGAACCTATATGTCTTTAATTAGAAAAGAAAGATAGATAGTGAAAATTAAAGAAGTATCTACTGTGATAAAGAAAGAGTATACATAAATTATTCTCAGAAACGTTTTGTTAATGAATTTTATATATAAGTATATATATTATTTTAAAAAGTTTGAGTATCTAATTAAAAATAATCATGATAAAATATGTTTTTATTTAGTGCCAACATGTATAATTTTGATGATATAAAAAAAATTATAGCTATGTATGATTTTTTGGACGTATGTAATTAAAAATAAAAAAAAAACGTGCATATACATGTGCTTATAATTTTGAACTCAAATTCACAACAAAATTAATTCTTTTAAAGTGACATATACAAGTTTTTCTTCTTCTCACAAGTTACACTTTACGAACAAATTTGGAAGGTCTAAGTATTAAGTTTGCTGTCATTTAATTAATGTAGAAGATTTCAAGCTTTAATAAGTTTACACACTATTTTAGGATTTTAGATAAATTTTACATTAATTTTTAACATAATTAAATCGAACAAATTAATGAAAATAAAAATGAACAACAGTAATGTTTATGAAATGAATACCTTTTGTCAAAAAAATTCAAGTTTTTAATAATAAATCTAAAAATTAGCTGCTAGTAATTTTCTGAAGGCGCCTCTTTGAAACTCTTGAATCGGTTATTAAAAATGAGCTTAGCAAATGCCCTTACGGCGAGTTTCTTTTGACGTCACTTAATTTCCGGTCATCAAAATACATGACGTGCTAGAAAAATTGCATATGGATCGTAATATTTTTACGCAAAGTAGAAATAATTTTTATTTTTATTTTATAATATAAACACATTTCAATGCATCTTATAGTCACACGGGTTATAATTTGTTCAATTATATAGATAAACTATGGTTAAAATGGATATAATGCATAGCAATTTCGAAAATAATAAATATAAATACATCTATATGTATATGTACATATATATGTTATAAATTTAATGAAGTGAAACTAAAAACGTAAATGAAATAAAGCTACCAAGTAAATATTAATTATCTTAAAAAGGTAATTATAAATATTGTTTAGGTACTCATATATTACTTTTTATACTAAAATATATATCACATTAATATTATAATGTAATATTAATCTGAAAATATATATAAAGTAATATTAAAATATGAAATAAAGTGTATACTTTTGAGAAACACTTTCATTTTTGAAAACGACACTATTTTAGCTTATTCAGAAATGTTTTTACCGACCGTATTGTGTATACAATAGATAGGTTATGTGATGGCAACAAATTTTGCATATCGAGTTTTTGATGGGAATACACTTCTCCATAGTAGAGAAGTGTAGATATACTATTTTTAGCAACCTGTCGGTCTGTCTGTTTGTCGGTCCGTCGGTCTGTCGTTCTGCTGGTCTGTCGGTCTGTGTGTGCACGCGTTTATCTCAAGTTCAGGTGGACTGATTTTGATGAAATTTTATGTATAAGTTTATTTCGACCGTGGCACGGATTGATCAACTTGTGAGGTATATTGGGCTTCGGAAACTGCACTTTTTAGCGTGCTTGTTTTACATTTTTGACCATTTTGAAGAAAATATTTAACCGGTTTGCTTGAAATTTCATATATAAGACTCGCTGGGCCGTCCGCGAAACTTCCTAACTTTTGGAAGAAATCAGGTATCAGCAACTGGACGTTTACTACGGGTTAAATATACATTTTTGCGTATATAAAGAGAAATAATCAACCGATTTCATTAAAATTTAATATTTAAATTTTTCGTACCAAAACAATTAACATATAAATTATTTGGAAAGATTAGGGCTCGAAAACTGATCTACGGGCCGATTTTACATTCTACGGAACGAATTGATGGAATTTCTTGAAATTTGATTTTTGAGTTCTGGTTGTTACCGATACTAACTGGCGAGCATTTCAGGGAATTCGGATAGCACAAAGTGAAACTTTACAAAGAGCCAAATTGACATTTTTCTAGGTAAGTTAACTATAAGCTGTCCTAAAAATTGGAAAGAAGTATTTAACAGATATTTTTATAATATTCTGTAGCACGTTTACTTAAGTAGACAATACACATTGCGGTCGGTTATGTGCTGACGACATCAGATTTTTTTACTAGATAGCCTATTTATTAATTGATAATTTATCTTCCTAAATGGCTTGAAAGTACAACTAATTTGAAAACATTATATTTCTAAAACTGCTTTGAATTATATTCAAAATAAAAATAAAGTGGTAAGAAATACATTTATTTCAAAATTAGCTATAAGGTGTCGTGATTTCAGATATATGTACATATAGCTTGTGTCCGTTTTGATTATAAAAAGATATCTAATTCGGATAATATTTTTCTCAGTATATGCAAACATACAATTACTAATATGTCACCACAAGAGCAAATCTTATTTGATGTATCCTGTAATATTCTGTTCTTATGCCATAAATATTGCAAACACCGTAAGAGTTTTTATTTTAATATTACAATTTTCATTTCAAAATAATCTTAAATATTTTTGGCTAGTTGTGAAAATACTCTACCTGATAGATGTTTTTTTTTTCAATTTTATTTATTATTAATTTCAGATAATTTTACAAAAACAGTGTAAATTATGTATAAGAAATTAATTTTTTACAACACTATTATTATGATAGATTAATTCAAAATTTATTTAAATATTTTAACAATTATGTATTTATTTATTTATTTATGTTTAGCTCAAACATTTTACATAACTTAAAATTAAAGAATGAATATACAGATACATATTTTTTTAGACAGAACAAATTTTTAACTTAAAAATTAAATTTAAAAATTATACAAAATAAAACTTATTAGTAATAATATTGTATTCTTATAATTATTTTTATTATTATTAAATTAAATTGGTTACTTAATTTCTAAATTTCTAATATAATTTTTAAGCTTATCTTTAAATAACTCTAAATTTCTACAATTTTTGATTTCTATTGGAAGAGATGCCTAATTGCACTACATTTTAAATTATAATGTTTTTTGGCTGTCCTGGCTCTGGGAATTTCTATATTTCTGCTATATCTAGTATATAATGGTCATGCATATTTTCCCTATGTTGCAATGATAGTTTTGATTTGACATTATTATTTATGGTTATTTTGCACAAATCCCTAGTACGAGTCCTGGGGTTAAGTTTGAATAACGTTTTTAGGGTTTTATTTATAACAATACCAACCTGATTTACTTGAAATTTTGTACTATGACTCCAACTACATATATTATATCTAATTCTTGACATGATATGACCATTGTAAACAGGTTTAGCCGCCTCTTTCGGAATACCACCCGCATTTTTGACAGCTATACTAATAGGGACTGTTTTTTTCTTTAAATATTCAGTATGTTGTTCCCAATTTAGATTTTCATCAATGTACATACCCAAATATTTGGTATCGAGTACTTTTTGAATAATGTTATTCCTTATCTTGACGATTATGTTGTCATATTTTTTATTTTGCGTTTTAAATATAATATAGTTTGTTTTATTTGCGTTTATGCATAGCTCATTATTATCCAGCCAGCTGCATAAGGTTTCCAAATCTTTATTCAATATCTGTTCTAATTCGATCATTGTTAAATTTTCATTCATAATTCGATCATTAGCTTTTGCAATTAAGTTGGTATCATCGGCATATATATTGTAATCTGATGTAATGTTATTTTTCGGAAAATTCCTTATATATACCAAATAAAGAAGTGGACCCAGCATTGAACCTTGTGGAACACCTGTTTTTATTACTTATTCGTCGCTTATCACTTCCTTACTTTTTACACATTGTGTTCTATTAGTTAGATGCCATGTATCCCCGTTATTTCTAAAAAATCGATTAATCTCGAATGGTTAACTACATCAAACGCTTTCCTTAAATCAATAAACACTGCACCAACATAAAAACCATCATCTAAAGCATCATATACTTGATCAAGAGTTGCTGCAATTGCTGACTCTGTTCCATTTTTTTCCAAAAAACCGTGTTGGTTTTTATCAAAGCCAATGGTTTGTGTTATGAAATTTCTGATCCTTTCGTTAATAGCCTTCTCAAATATTTTGGATATGGAGTTTAAAATTGAAATAGGTCTCTAATTGCCACATTCTTCCTTTGATCCAGATTTATGAATTGGAACAATATAGGCTCTTTTTAGAGATTCAGGAAAAACTCCTTCCAAAAAGCATTTGTTTATTATATTTGAAATAGGTCCTTTTATTATATCAACCAATTCCTGAAGATCTTTTACTGTTACTTTATCTAAACATGGTGCTGCATTTTTGTTTAAGTTCATAATTATTTTGTAAATTTCATGTTCTGTAACCGGAGTTAGAAACAAGGTCTTATTATTATGAATATTTTGTGCATTTACGTTTGTAGCTGCAGTTTTCAAGATTTGAGCTACCATAGATTCACCTATATTATTGAAGTATTTATTTAAGCACTCTGCTGTGTCATTTTCATTATTAGTTTTCATGCCATTTTCTCTAACAATGTTAGCAATACTTTTCGTTTTTTCATCAGTCATATTCCTAATTGTATTATTTATTACTTTCCACAGTTTCCTAGAATCACTTCCTGCTTAATCAACATTCACAATAATGTGTTTGTTTTGTGCTTCTTTAATTAGTTTTGTTACTTTTTTTTTAATTAATATATTTTAATCTCTTTTCAGAATTGTTCGGGTCTTTTTAATGTGCATTATAAATAAAGTTGGGTCAAACCAATGGTTTGTATTGTAGCACTTTTCCCTTCAGCAAGTGAAAATTCTGCTTTT